CTCTACTTCTACTTCTTATGGATGGGAGTTACAATAAAAAGCAAGAGAAATGGAGATGAAAGAAATACTAGTGAAAAATGAATAATAATTGACAATGCTTCATCTAAGAAGGCTAACCAGCAGGAGTCATTCAAATTTAGCCATATAGCTATATTCTCTACTTCTACTTCTTATGAATGGGAGTTGCAATAAAAAGCAAGAGAAATGAAGATGAAAGAAATACTAGTGAAAAATGAATAATAATTGACAATGCTTCATCTAAGAAGGCTAACCAGCAGGAGTCATTCAAATTTAGCCATATAGCTATATTCTCTACTTCTACTTCTTATGGATGGGAGTTACAATAAAAAGCAAGAGAAATGGAGATGAAAGAAATACTAGTGAAAAATGAATAATAATTGACAATGCTTCATCTAAGAAGGCTAACCAGCAGGGAGTCATTCAAATTTAGCCATATAGCTATATTCTCTACTTCTACTTCTTATGAATGGGAGTTGCAATAAAAAGCAAGAGAAATGAAGATGAAAGAAATACTAGTGAAAAATGAATAATAATTGACAATACTTCATCTAAGAAGGCTAACCAGCAGGAGTAATTCAAATTTAGCCATATAGCTATATTCTCTACTTCTACTTCTTATGGATGGGAGTTACAATAAAAAGCAAGAGAAATGAAAATGAAAGAAATACTAGTGAAAAATGAATAATAATTTACAATGCTTCATCTAAGAAGGCTAACCAGCAGGAGTAATTCAAATTTAGCCATATAGCTATATTCTCTACTTCTACTTCTTATGGATGGGAGTTACAATAAAAAGCAAGAGAAATGAAGATGAAAGAAATACTAGTGAAAAATGAATAATAATTGACAATGCTTCATCTAAGAAGGCTAACCAGCAGGAGTCATTCAAATTTAGCCATATAGCTATATTCTCTACTTCTACTTCTTATGGATGAGAGTTGCAATAAAAAGCAAGAGAAATGAAAATGAAAGAAATACTATTCAAAACTTCTTGGAATTATACACTACCTCAGTTTTTATTTTCGTGCTTAATTCGTTAGTCATTTTCATATTTTTATAGCATTTCCAAATTCGACAGAGTCAAAATCATCATTTCTGCTTGCCATTTCACTATTATGACTCACACAAAGCTTTTATATCAAAATAATTATCCGTTTTTAATTTCATTCTCACCGCTTTGTGCACCGAAATACAAAAATAGAATTGGTATCGATTTGCAGTTTTACAGGAGAAAATATGTATGAAACAAGGTCGAGTATAATGTGTGACCCCACAAATGTAGGAATGGGTAAAGACAAAAATGCCACGTAGCCACGGACTGTGCCATAAATACGCCATGGCATTTATGATCTCCTAATTAATGAAATAGGAAAGTGCTTCCCATTGCTGGAATCGCCAGAAATATCTTCTTTCCGATTGGTCTCTCTCTCTCTCTCTCTCTCTCTCTCTCTCTCTCTCTCTCTCTCTCGTACTCCCTCTCTCTTTCTCTCGGTTTACCTCTCTCTTTATCCCTCTCATTTCTGATGCTATGCAATGATACAAATATCTCCAGTCGAACTTTATCGTAAAGATATGACAAGTAGTGATCAGCTATCGTAGATGAAGATTATGAGATTGTCAGAAAGGATCAAAGAATTCCTAGTAAATCTCGCCAGATTGATAAGTAGGGAAAAAAAATCAATGAAACAAATTCTAGATAACCAGATAAAATTTCAGAAATATATTTGTTCGAACCTCTTTTCACAAGTCGTCTCCATCTTGATGACGTGAATATTTCTTCGGACTTATCTGTAAAAGCTCTTTCATACTTATCTTCCTTGATATACGTAAGTCTAAATGGCGGCTCGTCTAAATTCCAGCGTTTATCAAAAGGAGAGAGATAAGAAAGCGGATGAAGAATAAATGAATCCGTTAAAAGAGGATTAAGTCGGATTAACAATGGCAAATCTGTAGCAATGCATATTTACATTACGAGTTACATTACAAGTCAATACTTAGTTTTAATTTCGACTATTCGAAGAATCTTGCGATATTTTCTACGGTGTAATCTTTTTAATCATTTCACTGCAAGCAAGGCAATAAAGCCACTAAGTTGCAAGGGGTTACTGAGTGACAGACAATATAAGAAAAAATGCTATTAAGGAGAGAACAATAAAAATAGGAATTATGTCAGAAGATAATGACTGACATTGATTTTCAAAAATTTAAATGCAAAGTTGACAATGGCTGAAAAAGAGTTCCACAAATGATAAGTGAGATTGAAGAAATTTACATTACAGTTACATCTCGCCATTCGACGGTAAAATGGCAAGATCTTCCCGCCAATATAATACTGCCCTTAAATTCATAAAGTCTAGGTAACAAAGAGAAAATTTATTCAGAACAATCACTATAAACATATTTATAAAAAAAAAACACACGAAACCTACGTTATAGTGGTGGGGAAAATGAAACCGAGATGACAGGTCAAGACCAATAACATTGCAGATTCTTTGGAATGTATCAAGATTCTCTAAATACAAAGCAGAAGCACCTGAACATATGTGGCTGCAATATTTAAAGCATGGATAATTCTACCAATTTCTTATATTTTATCTCCTGTGTGCTGATTTTTTTAAATGAAATTCGATGAACTGATTTTTCATTCTGTCACAGACAAAATATGGCCCCAAACTTAAAGAACATTATACCTAGTTATGAGGAAGTGAAGTTTTAAAAATACAGTTTGATTTGACATTGAAGCTGAACTTTTGAAAGTAGCATCCTCTCTCTCCAAATGCAAACAAAAGTTTCTTAGTTTCGCGAAGGAACTCTGGAATCAGAAATATTTCCCAAAAAATTGGCGTTTATTACAAATTAATGCAAATTGGAAACGAAAATGTAATTCTGAAGTTTTCCACATGTACATAAGTAACTAAATTATATCCATTGGAAAGTGGTAAGTAATATTTTACTAACCTAGACACCATTCTATGAAAGTCAGCTTCGCACAACTCAATTGCGCTTTCGTTCAGGTAAACGGTGTAATGATGGGATATATGTAATCAAGTAACTTCAAGAAATCATATAGCTATCGAATAGACCATTGTTTACCTGCTATGTTGATCTCATAGAAGCACATGACCAAATCAGTAGGGGTGTCTTTTCCTCTTCCATTAGAAACCGTCTTATAGACCCCTAACTTACTAAAGATCTTGATGTGATTAAGGAAGTGTATCGATCTACAAAATCGCGGACGTATAAAGACTCAGACACTGAAACATTTCAAAGCTCGTCTGGGATACAAGAAGAAAATGAGATGGTTTTGTTTGGTTGATTTCTCTTTAGCTGCATATCAACATCTCTATGGGTTATTTCATGCCGTAATGTACATGTTTTAAACGCCGTTTTATGTCTTCAACTACAGATGTTTTCTATATAATTTTATACTTTCAGGGCAAGATATATGTTTTTTAGGTATATAGTTTGTAGATAAGTATATATTTCCGGTAATCTCTATCTATAAAAGGCAGGATGTGTGTGTGTGTGTGTAACGAATGCACAGCCGCAATTTCCGACGGATTTGCACCAAAATTTACATGCACATGTTCCAAGTTAGCGGCAAGGCCAAGACCGACTTTGCATTTCCCAACTCCCATCGATAGTGGAAATAATCGATTTTTTCATGCAGTTTTCATGTAGTTTGCGGCCATTTTCTACTGGCCAGAGTGAGAGCCTATAGCTGGCTGCCACGAATAGGCAGGAAGATTCTATTGGCCAGCGTGAGAGCCAACAGCTGACTGACACGAATGTTAACTAGCATGCTAGTATGCAAAAAAAATCGTTAGCTGCATTCGTCACAAGTGGGAAAAATTGAAATCTGCATGGCACTTTACTCCAATTGGCTCATTCGCTTGCTTAAACTCAATGTTGATTCTGATTCCGCAGAACTGGGTTGGGTGTGAAAAAGTATTTGTTGTTAACATTCTTTTTTATTCGGTTTTTCCAGTTACGAGTCCCTTTTTTAAAGCTGATCGTTTTGTGTTCATTTTGTTTAGTTCTTTTGTCGTAACAGATTTAATGTTTAGTATAGAGCTTAGAAAAAATTCGCAGTGTGAGATAGGCAAGAAGCAAGACATGTAGCAACATCAGCACGGCAAAGGGCACTCCTTTAAAGGCAAGGAAGTGCAAAAATATTTTAAGTCAAGTGATAGCGATTGCTGTATGAGTCGTACGATTTTGGAATCAAGCCCGGGCAACGCCGGGACATGCTGCTAGTTTTACTATAAAAAATTATTTTAACAGTTTTGCATTGATTGTCATTTCATTATAAAAAGTTATTACATGTATTTTCATTATAAACAAAGGTAGTGCTAGTATATTTTTTACTATATTTATATTTTTCTAGGTTATTAATTTTTGATTTGCCCATAGCTGGGACCGTAACAGGTTCTACTACCTCGGGTTAGAGTGAACCTGGGAAAAACAGCAATTAAGAGGTGGTTCCACGCACCTCAAAGCCTCCAATCTTCTGCCACTGAAAGAAAGGAGATCCCCCCCATCTATTTCATCCCCTCCTAGACTATGCTCTGCATACAAGTAATAATGAATAAACTGTTATACAAGAACGATAGATAGTGTATCGGATCATGGAAAAAGCGCCCTACTTAAAAATAGAAAAAGAAGAAAAATGCTCTATGGCAATCTTACAAGTCAAAGAATTTGTTTTTGTTTGTTTTTTATGGCTTATCAATGTTTTGTAGGTTATTTAAAGCCAGAGACTATTTTTTAGGTTTTAAGAATCTTTTCGGAGATTATTTCTTTACTGATACAAGTACTACTAATTAACCCATAGTTAGGGAGAAATGTATTTATACTTTTCCCCGGGTGTTTTTCTCGCGTAATTGAATATAACGAACCCGACTGGAGTTGGGACTCGGCTTTCCGAGGATTGACAATTCCGAGTCATTACCCATTATACCGGCCGCACATCCAAACTAACACCACCTTGTATTGCTAAACAGTCACTCATCTAGGTACTGACCAAGCTCGACGTTGCTTAACTTCGGTGATCGTACGAGAATTGGTGTTTCAATGTGATATATCCACAAGTCAAAAGAGAACAAGATTTGCGAGACATTCCGCGAGAAATAAGAATTTTGAAAGTCTGATGCTCGTGTGTCAATATTTTGGTTTCAAAACCCAGCCCAGGGTTTTGAAACCAAAATATTGACACACGAGCATCAGACTTTCATTCAAAAAAATATCTTCAGAAAATTCCTGCAATGGCACAAGATGTCAATCTGAAGGCCTATCACATGCAATGAATAATTGTCCAGATTATCGGGAAGGAGACGTGAGGTTCTAGGCTGTAAAACCCAAATAATTTGAAATGTTCATTTTGTTTTATGTATATAGAATTACAGACAATTGAGAATGCAACGGATACAGACTCCCCTATCTTTTCCCCTAAAAATGCATGGTAATTAACGTATATAATAATGGGAGAGTCAAGGTCACGGCTTTGTTTCAATGTATTTTATAGTTGACTTGAATAGGTAGAAGTCACTGCAAAGATTAATTTCTGGGTTTATTACACGATTAACAAAATCAGCCTTTGAAATATTAACGATAGAAATGGATGAAAATTAAAGTGATTTTTTCTCGCATACGCACTTTAGTGGATATCCATATTTGAGTAGACGTTCTGTTTTTTGTTTTTAACATTGTTTTTTTTGTCTAACCGTCTGCGCTAAAAAATTTTTTTTAAAAACTCTCCTGGGTAGGATTCGATCCTGCGACCTCCTTTACAGGATATGGGTATCCACTAAAAGTTACGTTTGAAATATTATATGACGAATTAAAAAATAAATTTCATTAATTCTTTTGAAACTGATTTTCAGTTTCAGATACGAAACTGAACAGCTATGACTTTCGAGAAAATCTTCAAGATTATTGACTGAAGATTCAAGAAGATTCCCAAAGCCGAACGGCTTCAAAGCATGACGGATATGACGGCTGTTTCTCCTACAAAGGGTGACGCAGGTTTCAATCCTGCCAAAGGGCACATTTTCTTTTAATTTTCTCGATTCCGCAGGTTGGGAAACGAAATAGACACCTTAAAAGAAAAAAAAATGAAGGTTTCCAGCAAAAGTAACGTTTGACGTAATCATTTTTAAAAACCCATATATATATATATATATATATATATATATATATATATATATATTTTAAAGAAAAAAACAGACCACTTTAAGGCTCCGAAAAATGCGTTTCACCTTTTGAAAGTGATGCCTGAAGATCCAGCGTCCTTTAAAAGGTCTCTGCTGAAATAAACTATTACAATGGACCCTTAAAGTGGTCTGTTTTTCTTTTAATTTATTAGCTCTGAATTTACATTGAGCTCTCAGGATTTCATCCTCCTTGGGACTACCAATATGGATTACCAAGTTTTTCATATATATATATATATATATATATATATATATATATATATATATATATATATATATGGCCCAGGCTGGCGTCTCGGCTTCTATCACTTTCCCACCGGCATAGGTTGCCTCCCTTTTCTATACCTACCTTCATGGTAATTGTTCGGATGCGTTTAGATATGGTGCCTAGACTCTTCCAATGTAAACGTAATACTTGACTGGCGACTAGGTCTCACCAATTTACAGCCGAGTTGGCTAAATGAAACTGTAAATTCTATAAGAATAGTTTCTTTTTTTTTTCAAACTTCTTGCTTGTGGAACTCCCTCCAGGTTCCATGCTTTCTAGCCAACTTTAATCTAAAAAATTTTTTAAATGTAATGCCAATCGCTATTTGCTGTCCTCGTGATTCCTTTACCTCTGTTGTCGCTCCTTAGCTCCCTGTTTCTCACTCCGTCACATCCAGTTAACCCTTAGGCTTAGGTGGCTTTACTGCAGTTAGTGTATTTAATATTTTTGTCACTTCCAATGAATAAAATTAGATTGAATCTCTCTTATGTCAAATTCAATCACTTATATTGGATTCACATCCGGATGTCACCTATTATCGTCCTCGGCCGTTCAGTGTACAACACTTCATATCTCTTTGCTTGATGTTTAGATATTTACCTGTCATACCCTTGTCTCAAGCGCACATATCTGTCACATCTGGATTGATCACGTGGATCTTAACGTACACACAAACAAACTTTCAAATGCGAATATTGTATAGATTTTTGCGCGTGTGTATGCAGTGTACATGCGTATATATATATATATATATATATATATATATATATATATATATATATATATATATATTAAACAACATCTAAAATATTATTACAGTGAGATTTACGTTCAGAATATTCGAACACAGTGGCGTTCCATATCACGTGACGTCCGCATCACACGACGGACGCTACTTGTAAACAAACAGTTATTTCTGAAGAAAGATTGAGGCCAATTTGAAATATCAAATATATATATAAATAAATAAATACTTTCATAAAAAAACATTATTATTTTTTTTAATTTGCAACTTTTTCTACATATATATATATATATATATATATATATATATATATATATATATATATATATATATATATATATATGGGGTGCGAGAATGTATTTTTGTATGGATTTGTACGTGTATATTATATTTGCGGTGTATATTCGTATGCACATTTGTAAGGATATGCAACACTGTGAGGGTCTGTCAGTTGGCACCTATGTGTACGCATGTGCCTTTTCATCAGTATGCAGGTGAATATGCGTCTATGAATGTGGGCGCGCCCACACCTGTAAATGCATGTGTTCACCCAGTCTCGTGATCGAACCGAAAGTGGCGGTTAGCGTGTACAGCTAAATCAATTGAATTTTCATAAATTCACATTGAAATAAATGGAACGCCTGCAAACGATGCAAAGCAAAAATTCTTTAATTGTAATCAATAATTGCAGGCAAATTTAGCGACCAAATTTAGGATCTTAAATCCTTAGAAATATTTACTCACACGGCTGGAAATTTCTTTTTATTCAACATTACCGATCGATGTTCTCCTCGGTCATTTAATCTATTGATTATAAATTATCGGCCAGATTTGCAGTTTAATTCATAAAAATGATATTTTGGGGGATGATAAAATGTGCGTCTTTAAAATCTTAATAACATTTCTTTGTTTTTTTTTTTTATCTGCTGACGACCAGTACAAATTTAGGTTTCTAAATAAGGATTTTAATCTAATTTAATGGAGATTTGGTTTTTTTGCAATCTTGCACAAAAAGTATCATTCTAAACTAATTATCTTTTTTCGCTGGATGATAATCTGTTTGAAACGTGAAGTCCATATATTCTATTTTTACAAAAGAGGTTTCAAAAGAAAAAATTTATATTTTTAAACAGGTTTCGAAAATAATATTTTAGATAATTTAAGGTAAATACTATTAAAAACGACAGACATTTTGTGTCGATTAATTTTAATGATCAACTTTTCTAAGTTACGAATAATCTCTGACTAAGAAAGTTGGTTCACTCGTGCTAGACAATTTTTCTCGCCAGAATCTATCTTACATATTTATCTACCAAGCGTTCTTGCGTTGAATATTGCTGTCTTGTGCCCTTGATATTTACCTTGAGTTCCTTGATAAGATCTAAAGAAGAATCAGCAACATTATTGGTCCTGATCTGGCGTCTCGGCTCCAGTCAATTTATCACACCGTAAGGTCGCCTTTCTGTCTTTTCTATAAATAGTTTCACTGTAGAGTCTGTCTATATTTCTGAGATGAGGTATTATGTACAGTATTTACATTAGTCGGACTATTGTCCTCATCTTTGTCGCCATATTTGTCACAACGTTTCGGCCGTTGTACGCTCCGGCCTTCTTCAGCTGGTTGGAATGTCGAACCGAACACTTTATTTCGCTCACTAAGGTAGACTGTTCTATCAAAAATTGCAATATGAGCACTGGTAAAAATGGTTGCTGAAGACATTAAGTTTACAATACCCAGAAGTTCAAACTCAGATGTCCTCCACAGTGGATAAAGGCGATGGTTAGATCCAGTGACAGGACCCAAAGAAAGTGAGTTCAATACCTGGTTAAGGCAGTGGAGAACTTTCAGAGGGAAAATTAACAGGAGATAACTGATAACTGACATCCATCTAACATGGCACGTGGAACTAGAACAGTCTACCCCAGTGATCGAAATAAAGGGTTCAGTTCGAAATTCCAACCACCTGAAGAAGGCCGGAGCGTACAACGGCCGAAACGTTGTGACAAATATGGCGACAAATATGGCGACAAAGATGAGGACAATAGTCCGACTAATGTAAATACAGTTCCACTGTAATTGTTCGGATGAACTCTTCGTTATGGTGGGCAGTCGTTTTTTTAATTAAAGCGCAGTACTAGACTGGCATCGGGGTCTCATCAATTTACAGTTGAGCTAGTCAGATGTGGAGCCCTTGTTCTATGCTAACAGTTTCTTTTCTCGCTTGTGGAACTCCCTTCCAGCTCTATGCTTTCTAGCCAACTTTAATCTGCCAAAATTGAAATGCAATGTCAATCGCTATCTACTGTCCTCCTGATTATTCTTTTCTCTTCCCGCTCATTATTAATGTTTCTATTCCTAATCCTTCCACGCCCTCCAACCCCTTGTGTCTTAGTGGCTTTACTGCCTTGCTTGGGGTGATACCGATTTTTAAAAAAATATCTACGCGTGAAAAATATTCGGTGGTAAATGTAGAAACAAAATTATTTCAAAGTAGGTATCTCTAAAAATTAAATTGACGAAGAGAATCCGTATAAAGACATTAGGCAAAAAAGTAATTTTGAGATCTATATTTACGCTTCATTTTGGACAATATTTTACTGATGTTTAAAAGTATTTAAATTTTTTTTTTAAAGAAAGTTTATTGATTGGTGAAGTGGCTAAAGAAATTTAGTAATTAAGTCTTTACAAATTTTCATCGGCGTCTGCTCGTTACGCTGAACTCAGTCATCTTGATTACACTACACGGCTTAGGGACTGAACTCGGGACTACCGATACACTGTTCCTACTAGTGTATCATTAGTGTTAGGTGTTGCTAACTTAGCCCTCCATAAAAGCACAATAATTTAAATTACAATTGAGTTACTTCCCTTGTCCGCTAGCCGGAGCTGTCACTTCTGTATTCAACATGGCGACAAGCAAACACGCACGTGAACTTATGGTTTAAATTCAAAGTAATACTTGCTGTCCTCAGACAGCAAATGAATAAAAGTTATTTTATTATATTATGCGGACTGATTCTTTGTGTCATCTTATTCTACAATGTTTTTTGAAGGCCTCCCTTTATAATTCACACATGATCAGGCATACCCGACATCAATGATTCTTCACGGGTTACGGCTTTTCATTGTTCTTTTATTTTCATAAAAAGCAATCTCGACTATATTTCCTGCTGCAATAACACAGAAGGTTATAAACGCAATTCTTGACCAGATCCTTATATGATGAAAGCACGTCTCTGGTCAAATATCACTGATATTCAGAACTGTCACGTTGTTGTACTCAACACACATCCTCTGAATCCTTTCCGACATGCTTCTTATTTCAGTCAAACATTTTTTTCTAATTGTCACCGAGAACCTTGGAAGAAGATAATATATTTTGCCAGGAATCTCTTTGTTAACATGTGCCTTGCTTATACAGAATATATTCATCACAACATAAGAACTATGGTAATTTTGTTTTTCTTTCTTGATTGCCTGTCATGTTCAATGTTACGTAAGTCCCTTTTGATTCTTCAGAAGTGTCATGTACAATGGAATAGGCGCATTCAATTAGGATGTCTTTAGTTGGAGTTTCTTTCCAACTGTGAAAACAAAATGCACTCAATGTCCTTGGTTTCCTTCTGTAGTGAAGAGATAAAAGTGATGGGATAAATTTATGAATACCAAACCGAAGATTTTAGAGTTTAATTTTTTTGATCTCACCTTATCATGTTTACTAAAATGTTTTACTGATAAAGTAAGTTAATTGAATTTTGGAGATGAATTAGAAAACTTGGTTAATTCTATTTTAAAATTTTTGACTCAAAAAACACTTTTTTTCTTATAAAAATAGTTTATTTCAGGTAGTTGGCATAAATTGCTCGGCCTACCTGAAAATGAATGGGTTTCTACTATCTTTATTGAATAAATATTGCTATCAGCCAAGGTCGTAAATTGATATTTTTTCAAAAAAAAAAAAAAATGAGCAATTTCAGTACAGCAAAAACGGTAGCTAACCATGAAAAACTAAGGTCATTTTCGGAATCAGTTCCATCAAATTAGCTAAAAATTTTTTTTTTCTTGGCACCAAAAATCGTGTTGACCAACGTAATGAATCATTAGTAAGTTTTCCCTAATCTGGCCGTTCTCGTGAGAGAAAAAAAAAGCTGTTAATATTTATTCTGTACCTTTTTTGATAATTCATAATCCATATCAGAAGTTATTAATATATTTTTTCCAATTTTTCTGTATGAAATTAAAAGGCAAATCCTCATCTGAAATCGAGGAATCTCGAAATTGAGATGAGGATTTACTTATAATTCTGATGAATTCTAGAAAGGCAAAACGCTTAATTAAATCCAGTTTCAATGAAACGTTTTTCCATTTGTCAAATTTCTCCAAAATTATATCTTCATGGAAGGATTCTGTTGTCCAAGTTCGCTGGATTAAGAAAGTTCTTGTAATGTAGCCGCAAATAGAATATTTCTGGTTAGTGCTTATGTTGGTAAGTGTATAGATTATTTGGAAGTGATAAGCCTATCACTAAAAGTTAATATTAAATATGAAGTCAGCTTACCCAAATATCACCTTCTCATGAGAAGGTGATATTTGGGTAAGCTGACTTCATTTCTGGAGTGGTTCAATTTCAAGTGCTCTCCTTGCAAGAGACCGGCTGAAAAATAGAAAATCTCTAAATTTCCCGCCAGTAGGACACTTTCCTTTTTTCTATGGTATGATGGGAGTTAGATTTTTTTTTATATATATTTCACGTGTTCACTACAACTTAATTCGAAGTCTTAACAATGTTACTGTTTATCTGTGTCTGAATTGCCACTTATAAATTTGGTTCGAAATTCTTGACAAAGGTCGATTCTTTTCTTCACATTGTAAGGATGGCGAAAATCAAAAATCATATACTATCTTACGAATTTCCTGTTCTATGCAATTTCTTAGATCCAGGAAAAACAGTTTGCGTCATTTTCATTTTACAAATGCCATCATACTCTCACAGCTAGTTCGTTGGCTTCAACCAACTACGTTATTCTTTCATCAACGAATTCTATGAATATATTGCCATCACAAGAGTCAATAAGCATATTGTAACCTTGCTTTCTTCCTACTTATGTGCCAGACCCCCAACTGTAAGTATATATTTTTTTACAGAACTTCAATCAGACACCTATAACCTCGCGAGTCGGGATATATTAACAAAAAAAAAAAAAAAAAAAAAAAAAAACGACATACTTCATTCAAGTTCTTTAAAAATTCATATTTGTGTCTAAAAAATAGCCATCAAAGAAAATAAAAGATGCAAGAATTGTGATTTTTTTAATTCCTGCGACGAAAAATGTCTGTCATGACTGACGATTATCAAAGAAAATATTTTATTGCAAGTTTTATTCAGCTGAGATCCCAAAGTAGATTTTTTTATTACCAGCAATAAACAGAAGTCAATGATATACTACCAGAAATTTTAGTTATCGAAAGATTTTTCCGTTTCCTTTCACCCAAATATCGAAAGATTTTCTTACATTCTATAATTGAGCTATAAACAAATCACGTCTTTTGTATCGAATCTAAAAAATCGATTGTTCTTCCAAAAGAGTCTTAATATTTAAGGCTTCTTGAATGAAACACATTCGATTAGTGAGAAAAGAGGCGTAGTTTACAGTCACCCTATCACGGGCGTGCCGTCGCTTTCCTCTGTCTTTTCTACAAATATTTTCACGGTAACTGCTGGTTCCCAAACTGCATAAGTTTAAACGTGCTACTAGGTTGGAATCTCAGTCCCACCCTTCCACTGTCGAAACAGTTAAATATATCCGTCTCTTCTACTCCAATAGCTTCATGTCTTGCACTTCCCGTCTGTGGAACTCCCTTCCTCTTACTTGCTTCCCTGATAGCTATAATCTCCAACTATTCAAATGCAATGTCATTTGACATCTCCAGATTCCTTGATCTATTCCCTGGCCTTCTCTTCATCCTTTTCTCTATCAAGCCTCTTTATTCTTGCTCCCACTCTCTGTAACCCCTTGTGTGCTAGTGACACTCCCGCTCTGCTTGGGGTGAAATGCTTAAAAAAAAAACTATTTGCCAATAACTGGTACCCTACCATTGTGCTACCACCACGGATCAGAGCAGACTTGGAAACAGCAGCAATTAAGACGTAGTTCTACTCTCCTCAAAATCTCCAATCTCTCGATCAGAGTCATTGCTGCCGGATCTAGTTTATCGTCATAACCAGGACTAAAAGAATAAAGTAGATAAACGAATAGTGAAATTATTTATGCTTCAACTAATAGAAATAAACTAACGCTATTCAAAGTGTCATGCAGAAATTGGCGAGCAAAATAAAATTATTTCGATATTGCGAATATTCAATATCAGGAATGTAGTCATTTTCCCACAAGACTTTCTTAATAAATTCAATTTCAGAATCTATTTTAGTCTTTGAACAAATCGTTAGGGCATGATGGAGCAGAAGCTTCAGTTTTAAATTTCATTGCTTGAAGTGGAGAGAAGAAAAAAAAGAGTCCCAACGGGTATATAAACCAGTGAATGCGAACGCAATACAAATCTGAATCCGATTTGAGCAACAAAGCAAAGAACATCATTATCCACGATTTTACAAGTAAATCGTAGAGCTGGATCGAATCGATTTAATGATGTATAAAACCCCTCAGACCAAAACACACTGCCAAACACAAAAAGTGTCGTCGGCATCACGAAAATTACATTTTGGTCTTAATACGAGCAAGTAAATCCTGCTCGTGAAATCCAACAAAAACATTGCTCATTGTCGGGACGGAGCGAATTACCCATAGAAATTAGATCAATTTGCTTCTACATAATTTTATGAAAACTGAATTCAAAAGACATCGTGGCAAATTTCTTGGACTTCAAAAATGTGAGAGTTGGACAATTGACTTCGATCGAATAGGAATCGTTTTTCCTCAAGAGCAAGACAAGAAAACAAACTGCTGATGTCAAGCGAAAACGATCTTGTCCGAATGAAATATACATTTATGCATACACATGGGGATGTCAGGTGTGTGTGTGTGTGAGAGAGAGAGAGAGAGAGAGCGCGAACAAACGAAAAAGAGTAACCGAGCGAACAAAATAAAGAGCGAGCGAGCGAGAAGGAGCAAGGGGGTGCGAGAGAGAGAGCGTGAAAGAGACAGTGCGAGAGAGAGAGAGAGCAAACCTGAAAGAGACAGTACGAGAGATAGAGAGAGAGCAAGCCAGAAAGAGACAGTGCGAGAGAGAGAGAGCAAGCGTGAAAGAGACAATGCGAGAGAGAGAGAGAGAGAGAGCCTGAAAGAGACAGTGCGAGAGAGAGAGAGAGAGAGCAAGCGTGAAAGAGACAGTGCGAGAGAGAGAGAGAGCAAGCGTGAAAGAGACAGTGCGAGAGAGAGAGCAAGCGTGAAAGAGAGAGTGCAAGAGAGAGAGAGCAAACGTGAAAGAGACAGTGCGAGAGAGAGACAGTGCGAGCCTGAAAGAGACAGTGCGAGAGAGAGAGCGCAAACGTGAAAGAGACAGTGCGAGAGAGAGAGAGTGCGAGCCTGAAAGAGACAGTGCGAGAGAGAGAGAGGGAGCAAGCCTGAAAGAGACAGCGCGAGAGAGAGAGAGAGCAAGCGTGAAAGAGACAATGCGAGAGAGAGAGAGAGAGCCTGAAAGAGACAGTGCGAGAGAGAGAGAGAGCAAGCGTGAAAGAGACAGTGCGAGAGAGAGAGAGAGAGCGTGAAAGAGACAGTGCGAGAGAGAGCAAGCGTGAAGAGAGTGCGAGAGAGAGAGAGAGCAACGTGAAAGAGACAGTGCGAGAGAGAGAGAGCGAGCCTGAAAGAGACAAAAGGAGAGAGAGAGCGCAAACGTGAAAGAGACAGTGCGAGAGAGAGAGAGCGAGCCTGAAAGAGAGACAGTGCGAGAGAGAGAGAGGGAGCAAGCCTGAAAGAGACAGTGCGAGAGAGAGAGAGAGAAAGAGCCTGAAAGAGACAGTGCGAGGGAGAGAGTGAGTGAGCAAGCCTGAAAGAGACAGTGCGAGACAGAGAGCAAGCCTGAAAGAGACAGTGCGAGAGTGAGAAAGAGAGCAAGCCTGAAAAAGACATTGCGAGAGAGAGAGAGAGAGAGCGAGGCTGAAAGAGGCAGTGCGAGAGAGAGAGAGAGAGAGCCTGAAAGAGACAGTGCGAGAGATAGAGAGCAAGCCTGAAAGAGACAGTGCGAGAGAGAGAGCAAGCCTGAAAGAGACAGTGCGAGAGAGGGAAAGAGAGCAAGCCTGAAAGACAGTGCGAGAGAGAGCGAGCGTGAAAGAGACAGTACTAGAGAGAGAGTGTGTGTGTGAAAGAGACAGTGCGAGAGATAGAGAGCAAACGTGAAAGAGACAGTGCGAGAGAGAGAGTGTGAAAGAGACAGTGCGAGAGAGAGAGAGAGAGATAGAGAGGGCCTGAAAGATTGCAAGAGAGAGACAAATATGGACATTCTCCCCATGAATGTATTGTTCGCTTGATTGCTCTTTTACGAAACGCATCGGCAAGGACTAAATACTATTTTCCGATTGTCTATTTTATTTAATTTGTCTTTTCTACGGATATAGAGTTACTGAGCTTTCGGCTATTCTTTTAGTAGAAATGGAATGGAATAAATATAAATTATAAACCTTCTCCCCACATGAATGGTAATATTAGAATTACTTGTCTTAGTTTTTCTCAGATGAGGCATGGGTCATGTGTAATCTGGAGATGTATGTCATGTCTGCAGAGACAAACAGCAATAAAAATGATTTTGCGATGCATCTAATTTTATTCCAAAAATTGTTGCATTATTGAGATTTGTTTTATAAAGGTTGACCACTTACAATCATTTTCAAAATATATGTGAGGTTAAAGAAACGTATTATAATTCTATTTATTTGTACATGATGATAGAAACATGAAATCTGATCAAGTATTTTACAGATATATTCTAATGTTGTCCCATAATATATATAAATACTCGATGAACACATGGTAAGATCTCATGAAAACATAAGCAAAAGAATGAAATTCTTAATAGGTTTGTAAATCTCTAGAAACAAACAATAGTTGAATTTATTACACCAATAGAGCATGGCTAGTGGGATACATAGATAAACTCGGGTCCTGCGCCGAGGTCGGTGGAAGAGACTGCAAAAACGTAACTAAGCTTGTCTTTCCCTCTAGTGCGGCTACAGACCCAAATGATTGGTATCAGAATACATGAATATATACAATATCTACTAGTGTATGTAAACATCATGCCTTGTACCTTGGATGCCACCTCTGTTTAGCATTAACACACTGACCATAACGTTCTGCAGATCTCGTACTTTCGAAAATGCTACATACAAACGGCCGAGAGTGAAATCTGGCTGCTACAGAAAAATCTTCAATATATCAAAATTTTACCGTTGTTCTTTATCGCCAGCACTTAACTCGTACAGGAGATTGGATCCTGTGGAATAATGGATATCGGCTCAGATTGATGAATCGGAGAGCCGAGTTCAAATTCCACTCGAATCCATTATATTCACTTACGTGCTAATATCGTTTGGAAAGGTATGAATCCTCTTCTCCCCAGAGCTATGGGTAAATAGTAGGGCAAACCGTGTAACCGGTCTGTAAACTGGCGTAGCATATGCTATACAGCTAAAGAAAGGATCATTCGTATTTGGTTCGAGGATACCGACAACGGTCGAATAATTTTCTTTCTTTCTTAACATGAAATGAAATCACTGCGTTTCACTTTGATACTAGGGATGAGTAGTATAGAGCCTATGTGACTAGCACTAATCAAGGACAATTCTATACTATTTTCGTGAAGTCTCAATGCCTTCACGCGTGTTCCGTTGCACACCTCTATTGAGAGATAGAACAGTAGTGTCAAGATGGCGCCTATTTTCAAATCAATCGAGAGACATACCAGAAACTCCATAGAATAGTCCTGGCTTTCTTCATCGTTAGCTTAAAATACAGGATGTGCCCATCTATTTTTATCTGAATTCCTGGGATGAGGAGTTATTATTTACACTATGTATATTCGGACTATTGTTCTCATCTTTGTTGTTGTTGTTATTACAACGTTTCGGTCGATGCATCCTCAGGTCTTCCTCAGTTGTATATTGATCTGGGGAATCTGCAGAGAAGTCCGAACAGAACCCTTTATTTAATCTACGGGTGTAGACTGTTCTCGTTTCACTGCTCGTGTCAAGAGATATCGTCTAATTCTGCTTATTTAGCACTGTTATCCAGTTATTGCTCACCCATTTCCACTGTGTGCAAAAGAAACACTTACCAGACTCAGGGATTGAACCCAAGCCCACAATGTCACCAAATTCATAGATCAACGCTTTTAACCACCAGGGACTTTACTTAGGTCTCGAGAGTTGATTTAACCCCTCACTACAAACAGCTACCTTTATTGAAGTGATCCTTCCCTCCCACTCCTATCTGTGTACACTGCGTCCCACACGCTTTCCCTCGCGGATGTTCAACACAGACTGGATTTACGATTATAATCTACGCAAATAAAATGCGCCTTTTTTTTTTTTTTTTTTTACGCATGATTTCTTTGGATCTACAGGGTGGTCCAAAGTCTTGTCACCCCTATAGAATATAATTTTCTATTTCAACGCTCTGTGGGGTATTATCATGGATAGAGTTTCACATGAACGATACCAGAATACCCATCAGTTGAAGGACTCCGTTCAGAGAGCCTTTGCAAAAATAAACAAAGCTCAGCTTTGTAAAATATCACTCAGGACATGGCGCCGCAACATCTTGTGTCAGGAAAATGATGGTCGTTCATACAGACCTTCTCAATGTGTGAAAGCGTTAATGAAAATGAATTATAAACTGAATCCAGTACATGTATTTTGTATTACTCCATTACTGCATTACTTTCGGATCACTCTGTTTCATTCAATTTTTTGTACAGTGTAACCCGGATATAAAAGAGTTGTCGGGATCGGAGAAGAAGTCTCTTATATCCGGGTTTCTCTTATATCCGGGTTTGGTCTATTTTGTTTAGGTAAGTATGGGAACACTTTGGGACCAGAGAAAATCTCTCTTATATCCGGGTTTCTCTTATATCCGGGTCTCTTACATCCGGGTTACACTGTATAAACATTGTAGTTTAACCGGGACACGGCAATAATGGCACGGATAAGTTTCTAGTTATTAAATTCTCTTTTTAAAGGTGGATATAAAACCATGTGCTCATATCTCTTATTTTTTTCATAAATTACAGCGTAGCCCGGATATAAGAGACCCGGATATAAGAGAAACACGGATATTAGAGAGATTTTCTCTGGTCCCAAATTAGAGCCTGTGTTAATGTATATAAAATAGAACAAACCCGTGTATAAGAGAAACCCGGATAAAAGAGAGATTTTCTCTGGTCCCAAATTAGAGCCTATGTTAATGTATATAAAATAGACCAAACCCGGGTATAAGAGAAACCCGGATATAAGAGACTTCTTCTCTGGTCCCGACAACTCTCTTATATCCGGGTTACACTGAAATATATATTAACAAAGGGAGGTAAAAAATTTCTTTTTGTTTTCTTTGCTGATATTTAAAAATAAATAGACGGTTATAAATTCAATTTTTTGATTCAATCGTGCATATTTCAATAAACTTATATTGTCATATTTTTCCACGGGCCATTTTTTCCCGTGCCATTATTATCTAAATTCGCCGGACGCAAACCCAAGACTAATGTCCTAGTCTTGAATCGACTACTTATATCCTATGGATAAGTTACTCAGAAGATTAAGTACAGCTGTGAATCAGTGATATCAGTCAGTTATGTGCCATGCGTGATACACGCTTAAACGATCATGTATCTTTCAATACATAACTGACGAGGCAGATTTTTTTCCGGTAGTAGGTTGCCATTTCATTTTACGGTAGACCAAGGCTATAGAATCCGGTCTGTCCATAGATAGGGGGGAGAAGAAGGTATTAGCAAGTAAGTGAATAGAAAGGATTCGACTGGAATTCGAACTCAGTTCTCCGATTCCTTAATCCGACCCGCTATCCATTACTCCACCGTGCCTCCTCTTTATCAGTGATATACAAATATTATTTGAGATTTTTATTTTAAGATAAAAACATATTTTAAGCAAAATTCCGACTAAAAAAATATATATGAAACGAAAACAAGTTCACGATAAAAAAAAAAATAGATTTCAATTTCAAAAGGTCATTTGTAGTTCAAAGACAAATGTCTTCAACAGATCGTCAGGTCATGAAATATGATTTGACCCCTACCTCCAAACAGTCTGTCTCTCAGGTTACCTCTTTCTCAGTCAGTCAGTCTATCTCTGTCTGTCTGTCTGTCTGTGTGTCTGTCTGTGTGTGTGTGTGTGTGAGAGAGAGAGAGAGAGAGATACTCAGAATGACACACACCATATATTGATTAGCATATACCGAACGAATGAAAAGTAACTCCCTATTTTATGTTTGATGGATTCTCCCGTATTGAAATAGAAATGAGGCTATATAGGTTTTGCTTCTTTAAAAACAAATAACTATCAAAAACTTCATTTATTTACTACTTTTTCATTAAAATAATAATTTAAAAAGATACAAGAACTTAACCTTAACTTAGATAAATCGATTTTCTTTCCTTGAAAACAATAGAGTATAGTAATTAACATAATACTTAATTAAAAATATTGGCCCTCTAAAGCTACGCATTTTGTGTGTGTGTGTATAAAAACTCCCTAGCATATTAAGAATTTCAAATTTGAAAGTTAAAATTAGCGTTCATTAAGTCAGGAAGGGTCAAAATAGATTTATCAATCATCTGGCCATGATGAGTATTGAGATGCGAAAGTCTTGTTATCTAACACGTCTCTCGAATTGTTATTGAACACTTTTTCTGCTAAGCTGAAATAAAGATGAAAATTCTAATAGATTACACTTATTTTCTCAGTTGTATTATATGATCGATTTGTTTGTAACGGCATATCAACACGTTATGGGTCATTTAACGCCGAAATTTAATTTTCTTGAGAGTTTAATAAAAAATATGTTATTCTTCTTGAACAATGGAGTTCAGCTTTTGTGCATACATATGTTTCTGTGGACATGATTACTAGAGGCCAGGTTATGTTTTTTTATGTTTAATATATTTTGGAATACCATTGATTTGAGAAATTGTAGGATATTATATGGACTAATGTGTTATGAAAGTTCTTTCATATTGCTTGTTTGTTTGAATTTATTTCGCTGTATATCAACCTCTATGGCATATTTAATACCAAAAACTAAATATTTTTTACATGGTTTTATAATTTCAGTATCTTTTTAGAAATATATTTTGTAGATCATAAAATGTAATTTTACTAGAAAAACGCATTTTTATATTTTAGCGCTTCATTGATAGTATTTTTGCTATTAAAATATATTGTTGGCCATTTTATTATAAAAATGTACTGTCGTTTTTTTTGTTTTGGG